ATGTATACATATATATGGATAAATGGATGGTTTGGAATACTAAATGGTTTGGAAATGCACATCTCACATTCTTACATTTTTAACAAGCCTCCATATGTATACATATAGGGGCATTTTAAATTTCTCTATATATACACATAAATGTATATGTATATACATGTATATTGTGATTCTGTAGTATTAAGGGTAACCCTGAAGAGGGCTTCTAAATAACTACACTCTGTTGTGTAAAGGTTCAAGGTGCCTGGTCTGGAGAGAGGAGGTTGAATGGAGATTCGTGCCTATCTTTCCTCATCTGGAGATCCATTCTCTGGAAGAGGAAACAAGCAGAAAGTCACAGGAAGCACATTTTACCTCAGTCTTAGGAAGAACTTCCTGTCTACTAGGGTCACCCAACATTGGACTGCTTCCCCCCACCCCCAACAGTGTTCATGAGGAAGGTGTACACCAGCCAGGAAAGTGAGGTGATTCCATTATTAAGATAGAAATGGAGTAGACAGTTCTTCTGAGTTCTTTTTTCACAGAATAAGTGCTACTTAATAGCACAAGTTATTTATTTATTTTAAAAGAGTTATTTATTTATGCATACAGAACTGGGCACAGGCTAGAGGTGCAGGAATGGTGAGAGGATGCACCAGAGGCAGAGCTGGGAGCAGAACAGGCAGATCAATGAAGTACACTGCTGGGGGGAGCAGCAGGCGGGTCAGGAGAGGTCGTCCACACCATGTGGGTCACCTCTCTGGTTGGGGATCAAATTGGAGGTAAAGGGGCTGTGGTGAGTTTCATGGTGCTGCACTTTAATCCATTTTGTGCCACCAGGTAGGGCCATAAGTTACTTATTTTGATAGTATTTTTACATTATTTACTTATATATCAAAATAGGGAGAATACCTTAAGTGATGAAAAAGACATAATTAAGAACTGTTCTATATAGGTCAGTAGAATTTATGAAGAGGCTATTAAATATTTTGGAAGATAGTGTAAAGACATCTAAAACTTCCTAAAAATCGTGTAGCTTTTTTCTAGTGTAGTTAAAGGGAAAAATGTACTTTTTGACAAAGATGATGAATAGCCAGAGTTCATAACCCAAATGATTTTCTGATTAAAAGTGGTGAGTTATCAAATACGGCAAAGTTGATAACTGAAGCCAGTCATAAATCAAGCAGGATGTTAATATGGAAATTCTAAAATACTGGGCAAATGAAGTTATCTACGAAGCCTTGCTGTTCATCTGGACCTGATAATTCCCTTAGATGCATATATATTATCCCTCAGCACTATGTATTTCACAGTAATCTCTTAGAACCTGAACATATCTATTCAATTACTGTTTGGATACCTGTGAATTTTGCTATTACATAATAAACTGAAAAATTGTGTTGGAGTATTTTTGAAATGTTGTGCATCAAAACATATTTGATAGGAGGTTTTGCAATGCTCTGAACTACCTGGATGTTGTGATATTTCCTTCCTGATTTTTACTGATCAGCCCCTTTTTCTGAGTTTCATTGAGCAGTGATTTTTACATTTAAGGGGTATAAAAAAAGAAAGTGTGCAGGGTGGCACAGTGCTTTCTTGAGGGTGTCAGGATATTTTTTTTTTTTATGGAGCATGGTTTTCAAAATGATGGCAAGTTGGATGCATTTATGTACTGTGTTTCACATTGCTGACATTGAGATAGCTCAAATCTCTTCATAATTCTGAAATTTGTCATGATTTTCATGGGAAATAAATAGCAAAGATGATAGATGAGAAGCACGCGCATGTGGCAGGAAAAAGAGTTTGTGTGTTCAAAAGCAGGTGTTTTAAGGAGACAGGTTTGATTGGCTTAGCCATTTCGGAGAGATACTGAAAGCTAAGGGTCATGTCAGAATTTTTAACCTGCAGAATTTGTTCTGTGAATTTATAAGCATCAACAGTCATGAAATTTGTAAACAAGCATTTTTGATTTATGAGATACTAACTTTTGGGGCTGGCCTTGCTCCTCTCTGTCCTTTTTCTCATTAGATTCTAAAACCCAGGAAGCCATCATTTAGATGTGAAAATATCATTTCTTGAAAATAGAGCCTGAGTCCTGAAAACTCTGCTTTGTCCCTTTGATAGCAAAAGAATTCTGGCACAAACGACTCCAATGGTGGGAGAAAAATCTCTCATGCTCTGTCATCATTCTTTGATCTTCACTTTTTTTTTTTTCAAGGTAGTCTCCAAATCAGTTCCCCAGAGGTTCTCTCTCTCTCCTTCTCTTTCCCTCTCTCCCTCTCTCTCTCCCTCTCTCCCTCTCTCTCTCCCTCTCTCTCCCTCTCTCTCTCCCTCTCTCCCCTTTAAATGCTATTAGAGAGACCTATGAATCCTCATTCTCCATGCTGCAGAGCTCATAACTATTCTCTTTGACCAAAGTTATTCAGTAAAAATTAAATGGGCTAGGAGGATCAAAGGTTGTGTGTTTTTAGAACGATGCTATCATTTTTGTGGGGTTCTTAACCTTTTGGAATAGTGAGGAGCAGGGGAGCAGCTACAGCAGTGTGTCAGTGCTTTCATGGAGCAGGCATATAACCACAAGTGGACCACTAAATAGCATTTAAGAGCTTGGAGAGGATGGAGCCTTATAGCCCCATGAAAGACAGCATCTTGCAATCTGATGAATACCAGTCTGCCCTCAGCCACTCCCACCATCCCTCTACCACATTTATTAAATTCATGGTCACTGATAGGAAGCTTTCATTCAAGTGTAATCTGTCTTACTTGACTTCGTTATCTGCTACTATAATGATGCAGGTAACGATGCAGGTGCATACTTAATGGAAATAACAGTAGGTTCCCACCTCAATGTCAGCACCTACTGCCTGGCAGATAAATCATGGTAGCAGGAACTTAGTATGTGCCAGGCACTATGCTAGGTGCTTTGCTATTATTTCACCTAGTTTTCAAAAATAAGGTTTGCGTTTTCATTTTTATTTCCATTTTATAGGCGAGACAAAGAGAAGGTAAATAAAATGTTCAAGGCCAGGGTCAGGAATGGAATTTGAACCTTACAGCTGATCCCAGAATACATGGTGTTAAGGACTCTATTAATGCCACACCTAAGGACAGATCTGAAAAGAATGCTAATCTTTTGTTCTTTAGAACCATTTAGTTCAACATTCATATAAGCTTGAGCCCCCAAGAAACTAAGGTGGTGGCGCTAATGCTGTGGCCCCCTTAATTAATGAGGAAAAGGGAAGAAGAGAAAGGTTATCTTTGTATCCTAGTAGACAGCCTTTCAATCTAAACTTATTTTATTAGTTTTGCGATTTAGGTGTGTACTAAGTGGGCCTTGGGAGTTTAATCAGTGAAAAGGGGATATGACAGTAGCATCTGCTTCCTAGATTTCTGTTGAAATGAACTTCTACATTCAGAGTACCTAGCACAGTGCCTGGTACATATACATTACCTGTTACTATTTTAAAGATTCCTTTAATGTTTTGTGGAAATAGAATGGTGACAGAATGACCCAACTCTGTGGTGACAGAATGACCCAACTCTGTCTGGGATCTATTGAAGTGATCATGTTTAATAGAAGGTAATCAAATGTATGAATGTGATTATTCAAGGCAAGTCAAGGAACGAGATTGCCTTGAACCTGTGACTCAAGACCGTTGTGGGGGAGAGCGTGTTGCCAATGCAGCGCTTCAGGTGTTATGGTGCGCCAGGGGGATGCAGGTTGTCCTAAATTCAGAATTACAGCAGGGTTACAGGGCACCACATCTGCTTCTCACCTGCTCAGTTCTGCTTCAGAATGCCATTGTCAGGGAACTGGGGCTTATCCTTCTCTTTGCATTCATTAGAAATAGAACATCAGTAATAGTCAGAGGAAGGGACGTAATGAGGAAAAGAAGTAAAATGGCCATGCTCCAGGGATATGTGGATTTTCCTGGGTGGCAATGGATATGGGGGTGTTGGGACGGGATGTCTCCTCTCAGTTGCCACTGACTCCCTACTTTAAGTAAAACTATTCCATTTCAGTTTCAAATTGAAAAGCTCCCCTTTAGGGCTTCTGAGCAGAATGAGGATAAAGTCTGTACACAATAGTATAGCAATTCTCTCCTAGCCAGCCTTTGAAAATGATGGGGTAGTTAGCCTCAAATTAAAAAAAAAAAAATCTTTTGTAGAAAGCATCCCACTTGGTATCAGCACAGTAAGGGTTAAATTTTTTGTTACAAAGAGTATCAAGTGACCCTTCAAGAGGGGAGATAGCCCCCAATTTGGAAACTGCCATTTCTAAAAGATAAGCCATTAGTTTTCACAGCTCTCTATGAAGGAAATAACTTGCCTCTCTGTGTGTGAGTTTGATTCGCTCTCGCTGTCTACCTATCTATCATCTCTGTGCTGCATGTATCAGCCTGAATTGAAGACTGTCAATTCCAGTTAATAAAAACCCCAGAACATGACAGAGATCCTTTATAGTATAGATCCATTTTACAATCGCTCTCAATTTCTTATGTCACATAAATCAAAACGAAAGTGTTTATCTTATCCTTCAGGGGCACCCTTTTCCCAATGTGTCCTGGCCCCTCCCCCGTGCCAGTTTCCAGCCCCTCAAAGATGCTTTGTGCAAGAAAGTGCAAGTTCCCTGTCTGGCTTTATTGAGGTTCCCTTTTGCTCTCCTCCTGGCTCTTCCCCAAAGCAGGCAAGCAGAGCAAATGGCCCGGGTTCTCCCCCAATGCCTGACCTGCGTTTGCTGGGAGGAGAGCGGGAGTGGGAGCGCGCTTTTGGAGCAGGCTGCTCTGACTCCAGCCCAGGCTGCTTCCTGCAGGCTGTCCCTCTCCTTCAAAACCTTGCATCCCCTCCCCGAAGCTGCAGGCAGTGCCTCCATTCAGCCACATTTGGTATGCATGAGCTCTGCTGCGGGAGAGGGGAGGTGGCTTTCTTAAGAAGGTTCAGTGGCTCAGGCAACGCCTCTTGACTGGTCTCCCAAGTTCCAGGAAGCCTCTGCCCTAATGGAATTCGCAGGTGTGGAAATGGCCATGGGATGCCAGGGCCGTTGGGGACTATTTATTTTCTAGGCATTGCTCAGGTTTACGGTTTCTGGTTTTCCTGGTGGAATTTGGAGAGGGTCATGAATCAAACGGATGCGCCTCGACCCCTAAACTGGACCATCCGGAAGCTGTGCCACGCAGCCTTTCTCCCATCTGTCAGACTTCTTAAGGTACCGTAACTTGAGTGACTCTGATTATGCTTTTCAGGTCTAAATATACAACTTTGCACTTTGGCTGGGACATACCTTTTAGGGCACTGGAATGCAGGTGTGGCTCTGTTGCCTGTGGCTGGAAAGGGTTCTCAGAGCCCCTGACCCCATGGTGTCAGGGAAGAGAGGATAGTCCAAGACAGGTTGGAAAATGAAGCGATGGATGGTCTCAGAGAAAGGGCTGCCTGAGTGCTACCCTCCCCCAACATCCCTAAAATAGATTTAATTAACTTCTTTGCTGGGTGGGAAAAGAAGTGGGAGGGAAATCTCTTACTCCCCTGTGTTTGGCTTCTGGGGTTTCTGTCCCTCCCTGGGGAAGCCCTTCGACCCACTTTCCCCTTAAATGGAATCTGAGAGAACAAAGGATTCTCCTCATTATTTTGAGAGCCTGGTGTCTTTAGGGGGTTCCTCAGGTGAAGACAAAGAATGAAACTTACCAGCTTGTGACTTTTGGTGTCCTTGTTTTTAAAAATAAGGCATGATAATTTTAGTTCCTCAGTGAAGTCGGTAGTGGGAAAGTATTGTTGAATATAGATCGAATGTGTGTCTCTCTCAGGCTCTCTCTCTAGCTCTGAGTTACACAAAAGAATTGTACTACACCTGAGCTAGAGTTGCTACCTTGCGTCTGCAGCTTTTCTTTCTAGAAACAAATGCACTGAAGATAGTGAAAAAGTCCCCACAACTCCATATTATTTCCTCTTCAGCATTTGCCTTGGAGGGGAGGAAATACCAACACACTGAAAAGGTGGAGACAAGTGTTTTTCTCCAGAAAAGAGAATGTGGGAGCACTTATTTGGAAAAGTGCGTATTTCTGGATGTCCCACATTCATTGGGAGTTAAAAGGGCAAGGCAAATTTATTAATCTCCTTTCCATATAGAATATGAATTTTTATTTAATTATCACTGGACATTGAGTCCAGTCAGTCCCAACAGTTCTGCATAAATTACACTAGTATTACTGTGTGTGTGTGTGTGTGTGTGTGTGCATCAGAGACAGGTAGATACTGCAATCAACTATTCTGGTTGGGTTCAGTGTGATGTAGACAATTAGTTCCATGTAGCTAAGTGACTCACAATGGAGTATTGCCCATTGTCCTGGTTTTCCTTATTTTACTAAATACAAACTGATCTTGTCCTCCACAAAGGTGGCCTTCCAAGGCAGCCCCTTCATCGTCATATTGTTGGCATAGCAGTGTTCTGCTTCCTTAAAAGATTATTTAGAAGCACATGCAGGCTTGGGCTTGGGGAAGCAGGAGATCTAAGTGCTTTTGCTGTCTTGGAACAACATGTGTGATAGCGCATGCAAAAGAATGAGGGCAGGGAACTAGCAAATGTATGTATATTTTCCACAGAATCACTAAGAATTCAAGGCTCCGGGGCAAGGTATATGCTGGCAAATCACACTATGACTGAGAAGACTGATTCAGGCCATCCCATGTGCAATGAGAGAAACATTTTCAGATAAAGTCATTCATTGGCTTTACTCCAAAATAATGCATCTTAACTTACATAATGGTCTTCTTAACAGGTGTATGTCTAGCACCCTAATACATTATTCATCAATATTCTTTTTTTAATGGGAAATGTTACTCATCATCTGTTGGTCAGAAAAACCAGCAGAGAGTATCTACTGGAGGTTGATTACTTATTTTTGGAAGAGCTGTCATGTTTGTTTACTGGAAGTACTGTCCATGATCTCTACCAGCAGACATTAATGCTACACTTATATTTTCACTGGCACAGAGCTCAAATCCTACCAACGTAGTGCTTTATAACAGTTCATCCAGTATAGTGCATTAGGAAATACCCTTCCAATTCCCTCAGTTTCCAGAAAGTAGGATGTGTTTCACTAAGAACTTTCTTTCCAAATGATAGCTGTTTTAAAAAACATCATAGATGTACTAGGAGATTTCATACATTATAGACTCTAGAAAGTGATACCAACTCCTTCCAGCAATACTTAACAATATATGACAATTGCTTTTATACACCAGAAAATGTATTATTGACATTCTAGATAATGAGTGCTGGGTAATTGTCTCCCTTCTGTATTGCTGCTGGCCTATATTTGCTTTACTAGTCTCTATGCATTCTTGCCCTGCTCCCATATATCATGTTAAATAAAATTCCTGAGTAATCATCTGCATCTCTTGGTTAATATTCTTCCTGGTTTAATCTATCAACTCAATATTTAACAACAGTTCTTACTGTTGGTTCCTTCCTTTTTTGCTTCTTCCTTTCTTTCCCTCAACATCTTCCATCTCCCACACACTGCTTCTATCATATTAATTTGATTGATGAGTTCTCTGGGCAACCAGGTGTCTGTTGAAACCCTAAACTAGCCAACCCAATTCTCTTGTTCAACAGGTATTTTTTCTTACTCTCCAGCACTTTTCTGATATGATATGCCCTTTCTAGATTCCTGACTTGTTAGTAAATGCAGCATAGGTCCTGATGGCATGATTCAATTTAGCTAAATGCGAATCACTGAAACTGGCCTCATGCCCATTTCTCTTCCAATGCTTTCCTTGAAAATGTGTCTCTTTGCTTACTTATTTCAATATCACACTAATGGTCACAATCCTGTTTACTGTATTTCCCATTTCTGAATAGAAATTGGATACTGACAAGTCAAAAAGGAAGTTCAGCTTCTGAAGCATGAATTAAGCCCAGTGAGTGTTGGCATGTACTTGTGACTCCTTCCGAAAAGTCTTATATACTACTTCACCCATTCAGAGCAAATTTTGAATACATCAACCCATTCAAATTTTGAATTTTAGATTGAATTTGGAAATGAATTTCTGTCCAGGAGCCAGATGATGATAATCAAAGGATAGAGGTTTTTTCAAATAGACCCATTTCAAGTGGGTCACTTTACAAATTATTTTTCTTGATTCTTATATATTGCAAGATTTCATCTTAATATTAATTGCAAAAATCATTTATTTCAGTGGTAGAATGTTCTTAACACATTTCATGTTCATTAGCAGGTCTTTCTCTGTCATTGTTTTATTTGGAAGAAATTATTTTGGTAGTTTCTGAATTTGAAGACTAATTTTAGAACAGAGAGCTTTATTTGTATTGAATCCTCTGTATTTTTAAATAAAAGAAAAGTTTCCTAAGAAGGGGTCTGTAGTGGGGGAAGGGAAGCTTTGTACTTTGAACAAAAGTTTAAGCCATTTTGTTAATGAAGACCAAACGGTGTCATTTCAGAATTTTCAGAATTTTATGCTGAGAAATGGTAAAATTTTGCTGTTTTGAACAATATTGGTAAGAGCTAAAAGAAATTGTATTATGGAAAGTAGCTCAAAACATTGGTTCTTAATTTTGTTGTGCTCCTAACCAACTGTGTGACTGTAGGTTACTTCTATACCCTCTCTGTAATTTGGTGTGCTTCTCTTTAAAATGAAGAGTTTTGGTCTTGACTTAAGTCTGACATTGTGAGTGCCTGCATTGAAGACTGCCATGTATATGGGATGGAAGAAAATAGTCCACTGTGGCTAAGAAACCTTAAACTGGTTTGTATATTATAATTAAAAAATGACAAGAGCAGTTCACAGAACTTTTGTCTTCAGAAGCCTTTGTCTTCAAAGCTAGGGCATTTTACCATAATCCTGAAAGTTTCTAAAATGGTGGAAGACAGTGCAATGGGAAGTTAAGATAGTAGATTAGAGACCAGGAGAGGAGGACCGGGGCTTAGGCAGTAGCAATGGTGGTAAAAGAAGCTGTCCAGTTGGATGGCTGCTTCACCAGGTTGGGGAAAGTTCTCACTACACACCTAAGACAAATACATATGATGACCATGTAAATTACATGAATATATATATACAATGAAATAAAAAGGGGGAAAAACAATGATCCTTAGGAAAGTTGGACAGAATGTTGAGGCACAGTAGGCAAACCTGGTCTAGAGAGCTCCAAGAAATCAGTGTATGAAGTAGAGGGTAAGTATTCTCAGTGGCTCTCCCCAAACTTTTGAAAAGGCTCAGGGCCACTGCCATAGGGTCTATGAACATCACCAATTGCCTCAACAAAATGCCTCTTCCCGGAGGCATCTATCAATAACACTGGTAATTTTGATTTATGCAAGACCTCTCTACACTCCCCTCACAATCAGGATTTTATCTGTCCTATTCTCTGACCTGTGCTTATCAGTTTCTTCCTAGACAAGTGGTTGCTTTTTATTGATAACCTAAGTCATTCATTTCACAATTGCCACCATCTTTTCATCTGTCAGGATCATTACAATGGCAATACGAGTAGCAATTTGTGATGTGTCTGGAAACAAGGGTCTTGAAAGGGGAAGACAGAGTTTCTCATTTTATGGTTCCTCTTTGGTATATTAGGAAAAGTATTTCAGTTACTGACAATACTAAGAATAAGACAAAAGAACATAAATCCATGGCACTGCTCGGATGAATCCTTTCGCTTGATGCAAAACTCTTTAAAGTAAATGATATGATATCAGTAATATCACTTCCAAGTTCTTAGATTGTAGTCTTGTAACTTATGCTCTATGTTCTCAAAACTATGCAGAACACACTTCTAGTTTCTTTGGAACCAGGTCAAAAAACACAGACTTCAGTTGTGCTTCTTTTCTCTCTCCTTTTTATTTTTTGTATAATTCAAAAAAGGTTGAATAGTGAATGGAGCAATACTAGTTAATTAACTCAGTGTTGTTTGGTCCAAGTACAAAAGTTTTCTACTCCTATAATCTGACATAATAGTAACCAGGGTTTATTGTACTCTCCTTGAAGCTTGAAGCATAACAACAGAAGAATTTGTGTCTCTCCTATCACTGATAGTTGCATTTCCAAACCCTGATTTCCCTTTGGTATTTGCACATTCTTGGAGAACAATTATGTTGAGATTGGTTTTTCAATGTCTGAACTGCAAAGTCTCCCTTTCACACCTAAAATGTTGAATCTCTGTGTAGATGTAGTAGTATCAACAAACCAAAG